CACACTGGCTCTTGGTCATGCCATCACCCCCAAGATTGATGCCTTTCTGCGCTTATCCTTCTTCGGAAATGTATTCATTTCAACTTGGTGTTAACAACTTGTTGATAGGTACCTGCGTCGATTGCAAGAGGCTGCTGCCGCCAATCTAGCCGCACAGCAAGCGGCGGTGGCGGCGGGGAACGTAGCTCAGACTCCCAATGGCGTGGCCCCTCAGACGGGTAACACCATTTCGTCAGCCGACGGGATGTCCCCGCTCCCTGTCGTGAACCCGCACCCCTCCCACCAACAACAACATGGCCTTCCGCAGATGTCCGTTCCTTCGCAGCCGACGGTCCCTTCGTCCGTAAATGATCAACCGGTTCACGTTCCGATGACTATGTCTACGGCTACATCGCCTGTGATGGAGTACAACGCAGCTTTATCACCCCTACCAGTAGCGCTCCCCCCTTCACGCTACCCGATAGCGGCGGATCAGTTCCAACCGACGGGTTACAACCATACTGGGCAGAGTCCTGGCCCTGGTTCAGACGGTGGCAGCGAGGGTCGACCTCGCACCGCTGATACCGCGGCCAACTCTCAGGCCCATTTGGAGGCATCTTTCTCCAACAGCTATCCGCTTTATAATTGGAACATGCCATACAAACCTAATACCTACGGAAATCAACATCCGTCTGGGGTCCCACTTCTACCTCCACTGGCCTACTTTTATCGTCCTCACCGTTTGGACAGCGTTGCTCCGCGCGACAGGATTATGCATATAATTGGATTATTCTTCGACTTTGTCTATCCGCTCACGCCCTGCATTCACAAACCGAGCTTTTTGGCCGACCTGGCGAACCGCCGCGAGGAGCGTGACCCACTCTTCTTTGCGCTTGTGATGTCGACCGTCGCTAGCACCCTGGTGCAAGCCCCTCGCAGTTACATTCCAATGGACCGGCCCTCGGTCAGGAGGTTGGCGCAGACGTGCCACGAGGCTAGCCGGCACATCAGTGTCGCATCTTACGACCCTCCGACGTCGATGATGGTGGTCATTCGGTACTTGTACGTTTATGGTTTATTCCGTGCTTCGTATGCCGGCTGAGCTTTTTCATTCGTAGTGACACCGTGTATCATTTCTGCGAGGGCCACGATGCCACATCACATGCTGCTTTCGGAGAGGCAGCTCACATCGCAGTTACCTTGCATATGCATGAGGAGACTTCGTACGAAGGTTTGGATCCTATCGAGTGTGAGGTGCGACGACGGACGTTCTGGTTGCTGTTTGGTGCCGACAAGAGCATGAGCATCTTGCTCGGCCGCCCGATCTGTTTGCGTGACGAGGACTGTACACTTCACTTCCCCAAAGAGGTCGACGACGAATAGTACGTGCAACCAGCCGGACCGGTTGTCTCCGATCTAACCGGTCTCTCACTATAGCATCTCTGTCAACGGCATCCAGCCCCAGCCGCATGGCAAGACCGCGATAGTTTCCGGACTCAATTACATCTCCCGCATCTTTGCGCTACTGGGCGAGATCCTGGTTCGCATTCGGGTTGACAAGCGCTCCCCTCCACAAGGGCCATTCGCTACTGCACGCCTTGAGGAGGTTCGCAGTTTGCACACTCGCATTTGCTCGGCCCTCATGCATGCGCCGCCTGCGCTTCGACTTAAACCCAACGGAGGCCGCCACGGCACCAACGGCGTGAGCTACAACTCTATCACTGGGCAACAGGAGGAGTATGGCGGAGCTGGGTTCCGAAAAGCTGCATTCGCCGAGGTCAAAGACTTTTTCGATAACCCCAATGCCTCGCGCGTGGATGCGATGAACCCATACCTTGTTATGCAAGCAAATCTTTACGTGACTCAAGTAAGCCATTCTGATCTGCTGTTCTGTTCACCGGAGCTGATGTCCGTTTAAAGCAACTTGTCCGCTATGTGATTGAGCAGTACCGAGATGAGCTGGTGACCTCCATGCGGCAATCGGCGGGAGACAATTTTGAATCGGAAGCGCTTCGCACCTGGACATCCGAGGACAAGGAACAAGTGGCCAGCGATTTGCTAAACGTGCTCCATAGGTATGATCGATCATTCGTGTGCGAGTTCATTAACTCACTTCCATATTAGTATCCCCATTCAATCGATCGCTGTTAACGGACCTTCGCTTGTTCACAAGGTCAGGTTCGTCGCGTCCACACTGCTGGATGCTGTTCGCAAAGCGGAGACTGCGCCCGCATCGGCTGCGCGAGCGCATGCGTACCTTTGGGACTTCCTGTCGATTCTCTCGGAGATCGAAAGGAATTATCTGTAAGTTTTTGCTCAGCTGATGCATGTGGCCGGTAATAACCGAGCTTCGCCATTTAGCCTCGACGATGAACAAGACGGCATGCCCAGTGACAACACGGGGGCGATCAACGTCTAAACATTTCTTTGGGTCTGAGGTTGGGTTTCGCAGAGTATATATGCATTTCGTTGGTACATGTCCATCCAGGGAGGTGGAGCCGCGCTACCTTAAGCGTGACGTAGTATACCCATGGAGCTTTTTGCGCTTTCATAATCGCTGTACTCTTTACTCTCGCTTTATGTATCATTCGACGCGGGGACTGTTAGAATACAACACAATTGAACAAACATTTGAAGTCTTGGTCACGTGAAGTTACCGTGCAGAGTGGCGCGCTCGACATCGTGTGTACCACACAACTCTTGCAAGCGTTTTTCTCTGCACAAGCATTTCAATCCACCCTGTTATGGCTGATTCGAAAATGGAATATAACGGCGAGAAGGTGCAGCTGTCTATCACGGAGGGTATGTCGTTGTGCCACTGCTGCTTTGACGAATTCAACATCTTGTAATGTAGATGAGGCGGCCCTGTATGATCGTCAGATCCGACTCTGGGGTTTGGATGCTCAACAAAAGTCAGTAGACCGCTTCGCGCGTTTTCTTGTCTAATGGGAGGGGTTTCAAAGAATGCGAAATGCCACTGTTCTTGTGGTCCGGCTCAAGGGTGTTGCAACCGAGGCGATAAAAAATATCGTTCTGGCAGGCATAGGCAAACTGATCGTTGTTGACGACGAGCCTGTGGACGAGACGGATCTGGGCTGTGGGTTCTTCTTCCCAGAAGGGAGTGTTGGCCAACCAGTAAGCAACGATGTACATAGCGCTCGCAACGATCTAACTTTGCTGGTACCCGCAAGCGAGTTGAGGCCGCTAAACCCCAAATACAAAGTCTAAACCCCCTGGTGAATGTTGTAGCCGTCTCTGACTTCGGTTGTCTATCAAATGGCCAAATATCCACTACGCTGGCAGAAGTAGATCTTGTTTGCGTAACGGATTGCCAGAAAGATGAGATGGTACGCTTGCCCCGCTCCGCGGCCAACCGTCTAATTGCCATACTTTACTTTGTAGCTCCGCCTAAACGACGCGTGCCGCCTCTCGAACAAACTCTTCTATGCTGGGGGGACATATGGGATCCTTGGGTTTGTGTTTGCGGATTTACTTGCACACAAGTACCTAGCACAGTACGTCCTCTTTCTTTCATATCAAGAATAGTACTCCATTTGTCTTAGGGATCGTACTGCAGCCAGCGGTGGGGCGACCAAGACCACAAAGCAATCACTGACATATCCCTCACTACGCGAGAGTTTCAGTCACTCCTGGAAAGGTCTTGCTAAGCGCCAAACAAAAGAGCAGAACCCTTCTGCGGTGTTCTCAGTGTTAGGTGAGCTCGCTGCGGTATGTTCCGGCAGAGCTCCATCTGACAGGCCAAGCAACCAGCATTATGGGAGTGGGAATCTCAGCACCAAGAGTATGTCAGGTCTGATTCTGGGGCTGAAGTCCGCCGGATTGCGGCCGAGATGATCAAGTCGGCTGGCGTGAATGCCCAACCGGACCCCGTCCCTTCAACTGCTGCCGTGGAGTGAGTAGCTTTCTTCAATTGATATTTTGGATATGGTTTAATATCACCAAAAGTTCGCTTTGTGCAACCGCAAAGCACGAGTTTAGCCCCATTTGTGCGATCGTCGGAGGATTCCTTGGCCAGGACATCTTGAAGGCTTTGGGAGCCAAGGAGCCTCCGATCTCCAACTTTTTAGTTTTTGATGGGTCGACAGGAGCTGCGAGTGTCGTCCCAATGAATATGAGCGCTTCCTCCTAATCGTGAGTATCGAAGACAACCTCCAGCGTCACTTGACCTGATCATGATTTCCCTTTCCCCATTTACAGGCCAAACTCTTTCGGTTCCTACTGGACCTGTGCCCGCGTGGCGCCTATTGCACCACATGTGTATATATGCGTATATCAGGCTTGCTTCTCAACCGTTTCGTGGAATGCTGGTTGTCGATGCTTGCTTACATTGTGTCACAAGGACATCACTCCCGAAACTCAGCTGGGAGGCTTATATCTGTCTCGTGACGTCTGCTCTGCTCACGCCGGGCCCCCTTTTGCCAGTTTGTCCGACAATCTGCCCAAGTGCCTCCGTCCTATGAGTCCAGATGCGAACCTTATGCCCACAGTTACCCCGAGCCACGTGGGCCCCTGGTGTGTACCCGCCTCTGGGGGGCTCTAGGGGGCCCAATTGAACAGCGATCTGCATGGCCGAGGACTCCGGTAGGTGCGGAGCCTTTACATAGGACATCGCAGCTATAGCACTCCTCTCCGCCGACGGCTGACCTGCTTTCTGAGGCCGCTTTTTGCATCTGGCCGCTTTTCCCACATTTGAGTGAGAGTTCATCATCATAATACAGTATTAAATGCAGTCTGGGTTCTTGTTTATGCGGCCACGACCTCCTGCTGGACTTCCTTGTGGAGGCTGCCACTAGTGCTCAGTTGCTCATACCCAGTTGACAGTTGCTGGGACTCCCCTAACCTTGTTCGTTTCTCACTCGTATGAGTAGGTAATCCAGGTATACTCGCATACGAATACGTGTGGCCTATCTGAATTCAAGAGGAACAGGTGTATGAGCTGAAAGACCCACGGAATGGATGAGACTATACAGTCACACCCGTGACGGCGTGGGAATTGGCAAGGCCGGTTGGCTTAATGGCAAAGCGCCAGTTTCCGGTATGTCTATACCTAGCTGGAGATTGCATGTTCGAGTCCTGCACTGGTCGCTCTTTTTGCAGGTAATCACTCCCAGGCCATCACAATTCGAACCTGGTCAGCTCTACACATCAATATTCTACTCTGCTACACCCGTATCCTGGAAGAGACAAAAAATAAGACACTACCCACATCAGTGACCGGGAGGTGTCGGGCTAATTGCTCAAAACCGAGGAGCAGTCAAGATAAGGTTATACTAATTGGGACTAATTAGTGGCTGGATTTGCCTATCAAGGACCACTAAGTGCACATGAAAGCCTTTGATTGGGCCTGAACACTGCCTGAACATGATATGCAAGTGATTGGTCTACTCATACTGGCAGCTGAGGAAGCCTGCTTCCAACCACCACCAGCTTCAACTGGCACACAATGGCTGGCAAGTTCAAGAACTTGGCCGAGCGCTCAGCATGGGAGCTTCAGCCCGAGCCATCTACATTCGTCAGGAAAAAATGGGAGTACCAATTAGGCTTAATTAGGCTTAGTTTAACCTAATTAATGGCTTAGGGGGATTTACGTCCCCCCCCTCATCGTTGAGGTGAAATGGGCCAAGTTGAACCCAGGGGTGCTTCAATTTAGCTCAATTTAGCCCAATTTAATGAATTTAGCCAAATTAATGATGGATTTACCCCCACCAAAGTCCCCCCCTGTTGCCCCAAAGTTGTTGCTAAAGCCTTCTCCTGCCTGTCAATGGCCCCTATAATGAGTTCCAAGAGTGTTGCTGTGCATTCAGGGGTTGCTTAAACCAAAATTCCAAAATTCCATTAAATTGGGTTAAATTGCCTAAATTTGCCTAAATTGAGACCCCAGATCTCAATTATATTCCCGGTTTTTCCTGATGTTTGCACATAGAGCCCAGCCCAGTCTCGACTAGAAGTGTGAACTCTCATCAAGGGTTGGTATAATGGGTGTGCATGGCTCCAGCCAATCATGCTTTCTCTGCAAAAACCCATGGTGTAATGAAACCAGGGGTTGTGTAATGGTGTAATGACATGTAATAATGCCTCATTACACCATTACACCAGTGTAATCTGGCCTAAATTTGGTGCAATTACCCCATTACCCAACCCCTGGTTCTAATACACTTCATTACACCTCATTACCCCTAATTACCCCCACAGGTTTTTGCTGAGTTGGGACCAGCTGAAGATAACAAGCAGGAAGCTAAGTCTGTGCATGCATGTAGGGGCCTAAGCCTAGCCCATCTCAACTGAGGGATCCTGCAAATTGAATACCCAGGGGGGGGGATGTGTAAATCATCAGCTAATGCTTCCTAGATGCTGATTGGATACTGTGAACTTTGGGTGGTGGTCAGCACATCAAGTGTGCACATATAGGGGCATCCAGCTCTTCTTGGTGTGTACATCTCATCCATGGGGCACTTGCAAGATTGTTTCATGTGAAATGGGTACATAGGAGTGTTGATGTACAGCAGCATTGCTAGTTGTGCATCTGGAAATCCTGCTACCAAATACGATAAGCACTCAAACCAATTTGCTCATTTGGTCAATGATATCTGGCTTGTGTACTGCACATATGAGTCACAGGAGTTGGGCTCTCTTGTGTATTGGTTAGTAAAGCACACGTGAAACAATATCAAAAGACATACTGGGCGGATCTCCCACAGAATAATCCGAGTCGGACTATAAGGTACAACTAAATAAAACAGCTGTGTCGAGTGGTAGGGAGCCTTACATTTTGATGCTCAGTACCTAGAAAAAATTGAACATAAGACAATGTGACTTGGAGTGTCTGAATGTATGCAGTGCCTACCTTCACTATCCATAGGTTTCACCTCCTGAGGTACTGGTTTTGGGCCTGTTGAGCACACAACATCCGTCTGAAATGCTGAACCTATTGGTACGAGACATACCGTTGCCTGACCTGTTGCTGGGGGCCTTGGGCTGGTTGACTACCTTGTTCCCTACCAAAACGTCAGCAATGAGATTCGCATTCGTATACTCAACTCACGGTCAATATGGCCAGGGCTGTCTAGCGCACCAGTTAGCACAGTTGGGCAGTGGCAACTACCAAAAAACTCACTTGTAAGATCAATCATAGCTGAATTGCGAGTATTCTGCAAAAAAATTCTAGCCAGAGAATCCAGCTTACTGCATGGTCACATACAGTGTTCGCCAAGCCACCTGTGGCACGCTTTGTCAGGTCGGCAGGGTGAGGTGATTTGGCCAGATGATGGTCATTATCGCTGGGATTTTCTGTGTGTTCGCTAGGCTTTACAGTCAGGGATAGGGCACCTGCATGTGTGGGTTATAAGTCCTAGCTTGACCAGCGGTTTGAACGCCCTACCCTGCTTCCTCTTTTTGATGGGAATTCTGGATGGCGAAGTCGAGGTTGGTCGTTTAGTAGCCTACGTATATAAGCATCAAGTATAGAAAGTTATTGACAATCTCACTGAGGGCATGCTTGGTAGTGTGGTCGTCGTCGTCGGTGGGAGGTTGGTGGTCACGCGGAGTTCTATATTGTGTTTCCCTATGTGTGGTTTGGCTTGCTGCGCCACACAGACGCCACCCAAAACCAGTTTGCACAGCTGGCACGGCTCCTCTTGAGTACTGGGAAAAACTGAAACACTTGAGAGTAGTAGGGCATAACCAAATCCTATCAGTAAGGCACTGAAAACAGCGCATACATGCTGGGAACTAAGACGATTTTGCCACAAAGTTTGTCCACTCCCTGTGCCGCACTTCCAACAGCCCTACACACTCGCCCAGGTCCTTCCAACTCAGCAGTTCTTGGGCAGCAACCTGTGAGTGGTATGCCTGTTTCTGCCCCTCTATATCCTTCAGCCTGGGCAAAAAACTGTCTTTGTCTTGGCCAGGGTTGGCGCCAACCAAGCAAATGAGTACGGCCAGCTGGTCGATTGGGTAAGGAAATTCTTCCCCTGCTGGCCAAACTGGGGGGCTTTTCAAACCAGTTTGGCCGAAGATGAGCCTATGTGCATGAAGGACCATGCAGTGAAGCAGTACCACTGCATCGTCATGGGCTGTATTGGTAATGCTGTCGCTGTGGTATTGCTCTAGCCGATAGCCATGGAGTGTGTGATCTAGATGTTCAATTGAATAGAAATGCCCCCTGGTTACGAGTGTGGGACCGAGTGTGAGGACTGCATGTGGGGTATACGGCTGCATAATCCTGAAACTGATAATCAGTGTGTGATAGTGGCAGAGCATTAGACTCACAATGTGCTACCCTCAGGTAGATACACAGCACCCCAATGGTACTCTTGAGACAACATCTGGAAGCTGGTATCATTCACTCCAAAGGGGTCTGGTTTCCATGGCTGGTCATTATCCACCACATTTGACTTTGGAACCTTGGGACTGAGCGAAAGGATCCATATCTTGCCAGGGCCCTTGGCAACATGAACCCAGGTTGACAGTCCGTTCGAGTCAACATGGTCCATCGAAATTGCACCTGCAGATGATAACATGAACCATGATACAAGTTTTGTCGGTCGGCGACTCCAAACAAATGGATGGCTTATTGTACGACTGAAAGCACAGAGCTTTTCCAGATACTGGTGCGAATGCGGAGTAGACCCAATATTGAGCCTTGATCAGATGTTGCGAGCCTCGCATTCTCGCTGGGTGTTTGCTTGCGTCTTCACTTTAGGTCTCTTGGATGGTTGATCCAGGTATTGGATCCTTGATGTATGCGCCATGTATGCGCCATATATGCATAGTAATCGAGTGGCTAGCTGCTCTGATGACTTGCGACAAAGGTTTTGATAAGTGGCTTCATGCTGTAAGCTGCGAGACCCTTGGGAGGTAGATACTTGGGTGCTTTAGTAAGAGGGTTGCTAGCCCTATAGTGCGATAGTAAGGTGACATGGGTACTAAGCATAACACAGGGGGAGTATCCCCCCTGTGCACCCTGGGAGGGTGACTATAGCAAGGAAGTGACAAGGCGAAGCAAGCTGAGGAACTCAGGCTTGCTTCATGATCTATTTATACTAAGGACATACATCTGA